TACTTTCAAATCACTGCTATGAGACTTATCACTATAGGCATTTGACACTGAACATTGAACATTATAATTACATAGATTTATAGTTATTTATTAGGTTGTTATAATTTAGCTTAGACCTAGATTTTAGTATTTCGATCCATCATTTTTTTTCTGATAAATACTTGGCTTAATATAATAATTATTCAGTTTTTCATTGAAATATATATTTTTATGATATAAGGACACAGTACCTACAAAAGCAATTAAATTAGATTAAAATTAGCTATATAATACTTAATATAATCTTAAGTAAATCATAAATTATCGAAGGAATTAGAACTAATCATTTTTATTTAGATCTTCTAATTCAAATAGATTCATTTAATTGTCCTCACCACTCTAGTTCTTTATATATGCCTAAGGGAGGTACGATGTTTAGACTGGGGGAGCTGGGGGTACCTTTTCCAAAGTCAAAAAGGGGGGAAAAGGGGGTAGTTATTTTTTTTATCTCGAGCTCCTTATATGACAGAGTGGGGGGATGGGTTGAAATTTTAGTATATTTCGGGTTTGGGTGGAGGGAGGGGAGGTTGGGTTTTAAGGCGCCTTCTGTGATTACTGAACACCCCTCTCCATTGAGCAAAAATAACGAACAGTCCATAAGGTTTCTCTTTCATTTATTTCTGTTGTTGACGTAGCTACAAATGAATTTGCAAAGGTCAAACTCACTTCACTGATAAAGAATTCTTGTGGAATTTCGAGTATCTAGGAAGAATTTATCTATCATGAAACTGACATAAAAGCCGGAGAGTTTAAAGTGCCTATCACCCTTCTGACAATATTCTCAGTATTGATTCTACATGGGGTAAGATGTTGAATAACCCGAAAAAATTACATAGTTTGAGTGCGGCTTCTTGAAGTTATGAAGGTTTTTCCATGTCATATGCTAATGCTGTGACGTATGAGGAGGCATTTATGGTTATTTGTTGTTCATCGTAATTCGAAACACCGGCTTCTATGTGAAAACTAACTTGCAATCATTTCTATAAGAGCAATGGGCAAAACAATGACGTATTTCAAATTTAATTTATCTGTACAAGTAGTGTTTTGTATATTAAATGATTACTCTTCATACGTCACAGCATTAGCATATGGCGTGGAAAAACCTTTAAGATTTCAAGAAGTTGCACTTAAACTATATATTTTTTTAGCGTTATTCAACATCTTATCCCATGTAGAATTAATACTGTGAATATTGTCAGAAGGATGATAGGCACTTTAATTGAAAACATCTGCTAAACTAATCACTGAGGTTGCGAGGTTACGGTTCACACTTTACAATATCGTCACGGTCACGGCTCGGCGTGGCTGTTCCGTAAGCTCCTTATTTTCTTATGCACAATAATAATGTAGTTTCGAATTATTTGTTCTACGGGGTTAGCCTCGATTTCGTATGAAAGCACTTTGAATATTCCTGCATTCTTTTGAAGGATCTTGGAATTTCAAAGTGTTTGTATTGTTGAAACTGTCCATTCTTTACTTAACCGTTGGTATTCGTGAATATTGAGACACATGGGACGAACCCTGTATAAACGAGTCTGTGATCAAGGAACACAGCGGTAATTGATTAATTCGAAAACGGTCAGGTAGAACAACAATTATACACACTCGTGAAAGAAATAGAACTAGAAAAATCAATAGAGTTGACATTGACCTCTACCGAATGTGCTAATAGAAAAATATTGACTTATTTTCTTTTGTTTTTAAACTCAATATCAAGGTTTGTTTTCCTACGGGAACACGTACTCAACCAACGGCTTCGAAACTTCATTCAAATCGGTTTAAAAAAGTTAAAGATTATTTTTCAATCATCCTTCATTGTTTTGAAATATGAAATCTAATTTTTCTTTAGATGGCGGATATCTGTTTAGTTGCAGATGTTATTTAAATTTAGTATTTATCGCGAGAGAGCGGGCCCGCGCGAGGGAAAATTTCTGCGTGTATTATTTCGCAAGAAAAGTCGTGTTTCAAAACTGCGTAACTGGTTGGATTTCACAATAAAAACTAAAATGAATAAATAATAATAATACTAGATATTAGAGGTACATTCTATTGCCTTCAAACGATTGATTCAAGGTGTTTGAGGTATTTGGGTCAATACAATAAAATGTATAAAAACTGATTTAAATGGAATAATTATTTCGTGTGGGTTGGCCATTGAAAAGCTGGAACTCTTCGTTACATATCAAGTATAAACCTTAGGCATTCTTTGTTGAAGCAAAAACCGGACAAATTATTAGGAACTGACCTTTGAATTATTTTTAGAGCTTAATAGTATTAACGTAGGTAATTAATTCTTGCTTTTCGTATTTTTCCATATTAACTGAACTCTTAACGTAAGGAGAAAATCCTGTCAGATAATAACAAGGTACTTAGCGCGCAGTTGGAATCCAGTATTTCTAGTTATGAGGCGGTTTACAAAAAGACCCGCTGAATAACGCAGAATAGCTTCCTTTCAAATTTATGTAGCCGCAGAAACGCAGCCGTAGCCTCCCCCACTGCCGATTTCAGTGTCGTCACGCAACGCTTTCTCTCCTGAGTAGCTGAAAGCAGCAGTGGGGGAGATTAACGCAGCCGCTATTAGTGTCCTCACACAAAACTCGCTCCTTCGATCCCCTAAGAAGTTAGGGGAGTGAGGGTTGGGTGACTATAATAGCGGCTGCGTAGGAGACTATAATTTATGTTGAATGTATTTAAGAGTGCATTTAGTCAAACTGTTGAATAGTTGGCTCCACCTATATTATATTAAACCTAAATTAAGTTATTTACTATTCAATAATGTGACTAATGGACTCTAACAGGAAAATATAAAAACATGGCACAAATTATACCCAGAAAAAAGGATTTCTTGATAATTTCGAAAGGGGTTTTCCACGCATGCGCATTTTATCTACAAGCATCCGGTTCAGATACGTTTTTGGGGACACGGAAAATAAGAGTAAAACTCACAAAGTGAAAGTAAGATTTCTGTTAAGCTTTGAACTTCGAACCCAACCACGTGAAACATTCAAAGTAAAACTTAACAAAAACATCAGTTGATTAAACTTTTCAAAAACAATTTCTTTGACTTCTATCTAAAATTAATTTTGATATTACTTATTTTGCCCACGAATTGCGCGCAAATATAATTTGCGAGTAGCTAGTAGTTATGCGAAGTGCTTCCATCGAGATTTAAAATAGTTTTTGTGACGTAAGATTTTATCTTTTCTGATCACGGTTGTTAGGAGGGAAGACTGCAAACACAGATTAACACGGATCCGCGAATGTCACAAAAAAATATTTAAATCATTGATGAGTTTTCGTAATTTTCCGATGAAAAATGATTTACGCCGTGGTTTTACTTAATCAAACCAATAATAAAAGTTTCTACTTGAAAATTGAATTTTTGATTGACGTGAATTTTAGTGAAGTAGGCGACCGATAAAAGAGCGTCGTGTCCCTCGTGCTCCAAAACTGCCCGAAAATTTCAATCAAAAGAATCCAGATGACTTTTTCTTAGGGCTTGCAAAAACTCACATCTAAGCGGTTAAGGCATTCACGGCATGAATTGTCATTTTTAAGTGCATAGATTAAAACCTACCCTCTACAACAAGCTCATAATTGCCACTATTGTCTAGAAAAACGATAAGCAAAGCGTCTAGAATCTCTAAGTAATTAAATTAACTTTTGGTAATTTTCTACTAACCTTACAGAAAGCAAAATTAAGCTCCAAAACGGGCAAGGAATCAAGCGAAGGCTTTCTGTACTGGATAAACTTCTTTTCGCACTATTAATGACTGAAGTGAGCACGGGAAGAGAGTTAGCTGTAGATAAATGGCATGTTCGGCGTGCTATTCGTGACCTGTGTCAAACCTTTGCGTATCGTATTTCAACCGTCAGTGAGTCATCATCAGAAGGAGCCAAGTCGCAAATAGCTTAGACAGAAATTCAAACAAACACTTTCTTGACCGTTTTGAAGCTTTATAACCATATTTACTCTGTTACCCCGTCTTTTCCTTTCTCACAAACTTTTTTTCTTTTTGCGTTTTTTATCCATTTTTGGCCATTTAGTTCATTGACAATACAAAGCGCATACATCGTTTTTATTACCGGCCATGGAGGGATACAAAGGGGGGTAGGATGGGGAGCTTAACTTTTCGTCATGTTTCCTTAGTTACTTAACTTGTTGATTTTTCTTGTTTAAGAATCATCCATATGTCGTCAAAAGATTTTTCTATGAATATACACAGCTCGGGTTTTATCGCCTCTTCGACTAAAACCTACGTCAAATATATATTTCCTATTACATTATTATTTTATAAACAACTTATCAAAATACCATGTCTTAACTATTAATTATTACAATTATTCATTTGATGCGGAAACATTATTTCCTACGCAGCCGTCATTCGGTTTCGTCATTACGGTCCCGAACTAATGACGGCTGCTGAGCCGAATACGTTGTAACACGTTCTTCTAAGAAGAACGTGGTTCGTGGTTATCTTTCATCACCATCACTCAAAGCCAAGTTTTATATTAGTATAGCTAATCACACAGTTTTGAGTTCCATTTGGAATTGATTTGCAGAGTTTGTTTTCAAAGATTATCAAAATTGCATGAGTAGGGCAATTCCTATTCCCATTCCCATTCCCATTCCCATTCCCATTCCCATTCCCATTCCCATTCC